AAGGTCTCCCAGAGGTCTTTTGCTTAGAGACAGAGTTCTAGTAGGAGAGGGACGACCGGTGGCAAATATCTTTCATTTCGTATTTAGCGAGGCTTTTGGCTTGGCCTCCTCCAGCAGGACGAGTCCTTATAGTCTGGGCAGGTGGACTTCCAGGGTTGACGACTGGCTGTGCCACCGAGCTTCTAAGTAACCTCCTCGAGGTGGCGTTCCTCTGGGCTTTCTTCTAGAAATTTTCCTTCAGAAACTAGAGGTGATGAGTGTTTCTCCTCTTCTGTGTGGGCAGAAGCGGGGAGAGGTTGGAGTATGAGCAGCAGAGGGAGCTTTGGGACTGGAACATGATGAAATCTGTGGAAGTGTTTGGCCTTGAGTGGGAGCAAGCCAGGAGAGAGAGGAGAATCCCAGTTAGAGACTGGTTATTTACCCGAGTAAGTCTGGCCTTGCATAATCCCTTTGGAGGGGTCGGTCTCGCAGCTCTGCCACGTTTACAGGATTTTTTTGAAGACCAACTGATGCCCTTGAAGCGGTTTGTAGCTCTCCGGGGCTGCGCGAGAAGCGGTGATGGGCAGGGATTTCGTATGTGGCAGCTGTTGGGGAGCAGAGGAAGAGCAGGGAGGAGATGTCCTCGCGATTAACATCAGCGTCATGGCAGATGACATCGCCCTAATCCCTGTCGTGCCACTTAGTGCATGAACTAGTCAAATCCGCTCCTCCGGGTCTCTTTCCTGTGTGGAAAATAAAGCGGCGCTTCTGCATCGGAGCTTATTTACACCTCGTTTTACTGCTCGGAGCTGTGATCTTTGGATCAAAGCTGCTCTGAGTTATTGGTGGGTGGGAAAATCCACACCGGGTATCGCGTGCCACTCGCTTCATAAAGGAAAAGCGGTTGACTGAATCCGGCCCTGCTTGTCAAGGGGCTGAGTCCTCACTCAGCTCTTAAAAGCTCAATATTTCCAGTCAAGCTTTGCGCATCTCACACGTCCTCTAGATGTAGCGAATATCTCAGGCTGAAATATTGGGTAATTACATTTGACGGGAGTAAAATGTTTCTTCTTCATTTCTAGGGGATCACTTAGTGTCCTAAATCTGCACAAGGGAACACACTGGAGCTATTTTTAGGTTGCAATTATCATTTAAATAGGGTCCATCTTTCCCTCTCCGGAAATTTGCATTTAATATCTCAGTGAAAATAACAGCAAAAAAATAAAAGACTCTCAGGTGCCAAGTATGCAGGACCGCTTTAAATTCTCAAATAGGAGCGAAGAAAGATAGAAATTTTCTATATTTAGACTCCAGAATTAGTTTAGATTATCTTCGAAAAAAGGGACAGTAGGAGCCCGCCAGTAATATTTTCCGAAGGAAGAGGTTAACGAGGTGGATAAACAGAAATGTACGTATCGACTTTGAAGAACACTATAAATACATAGAGACTTTTTTACGAGGACAAAAGCTTGTTTGTGCAGGGCTGCAGCTGTCCTAGTGCTTTCGTTCACCCCCCAAAAGCGGGAGATTTACCTCCTCATTCAAGCCAGTAAGAGCTGAGGGAGTTTTTCCTTATGTGAAGCCCTTTATGTTTCGTCAGAGGCTCTTGGAAGGCTTCAGCTGCCTTGCAGAAGCCAGCAGGTTTACTGAGGCCGTTAAGATGAAGGAGAGATTGTCACTTAATGATGATTAATTTAGGAATGCATTAACATGCCAAAGAAATCGAATGATAGAGGCTACTTTGCCCTCTCCTCTGGTTTCCCTAGACCCTAGGGAAAAAAACGAAGCCAAGGCTGAAGCATATGACTTAATTAATGATGACTGTGGACTTAGCCTCTGCTACCATTTCAGCAAACTCGGCAGCAGTCTGGGATTCTTTTTCTTTTTTTTTTGATTTCTTCTTTCACGTGTGCTCACCGATTCCATGTAGGTGTTTTCTCGGGCTGGCATTCACAGGAGGGTGGTGGCTCAAGAGAAAAAAACCCACCGGACAGATCCAACCGGCTCAGGAAGGATCCCGCAGCGATCCTGGCTCGCTGCGCCTGGATCTGGTCACGTCCTGGCGAAGCGTGTGAGGGGCAGAGCAGGCGAGGAGGGCAGGGAATCATCGTGGGGAAGGAAAGGGAAAAGGAAGGCAGAATTCCTCGTGCCGGGGAGCTGATGCCAGCCCGGGATGTGCCAGCAGCAGATGTAAGCTCTCGAAAACAGCGGGGAGGATGTTGACTGCAACAATGCATCAAGGCTGCGGTTTGTAACCTCAATAGTAAGGCAGTTAACTTTTTGTCTTTTTTTTTTCTTCTTTTTTCTTTTTTTTGAACAAAGGCATTCTGATTGCCAAACCCGTAACCATTAGCAGCTGTGGTTTTGAGCTGTTCCTTCCTCACGCGTTGCAGTCTAGACCTGACAGGCTTTCAAACAAAAGTTTGGCTGCCGGCTTTTGTTTGTAGTTCTTTGCTATTTTTTCCTTTTTTTCTTTTTTTTCCTCTTTTTTTGGGCCATTCCGTTGATTCAGGTTGAAACGTTGACGCTTATCCCATTTGCTAACCCAGTCTCTCCATTCGTGTGGTCTTCTGTGAGTAAAGTTCCTCGGGCGTGTGTTCACAAGGCTGGACGTTTTAAGTCCCCAAATCCTGGATGTTTCTGCCCCAGGCTAGAAAAATTTGGCGTTTCTAGAAAGTTGGAGCCTCTTTGGGGTTTCTGTTGAGGAAAATGTTCGGTTTCTCATGGGCCAAAGGCTGGCCAGCCCATGCTAAGGCAGAGGGGACTGGAATGGTGCTTAGAAATGTGCTCCAAGTTGAAAGTGTGATGCGAGACCGCGTTGCGAGGGAGATCAAACTGTGAAGCGCTCGATGCTCAGCAAGTCCTTCCCAAAAACTGGAGGTCTGAGGTGGGAGAAAGTGACACGGAACAGTGACAAACCTGGATCTCTTTCCCCCTTTTTTTTGCAAGCCGCTAAAGAAACGTTTTCTAGATGGCTGGTGAGTGATTTCCCTCTGGAGAGGAGGAGAAAATGGCTGTTTAGTAGTTAATTACCTGTTACGTTAGTTTGACAGCCGCGAAGCTTACGAGGCGTGAAAGAAGATCCGAGACGCCTTTCCCACAAATCATTGAGAAAATGGGGTGAAGGAAGTTGAGCCCTGAGGGGGCATGCCTCATGTCCTGCTCCTCTCCCTCACATGTGGCCATGGGGCTTCTAAGGAATCCGGTGCGTGTTTTTTCCTCCTGGGAAAAGCCGATTTATTGCCACTGCCAGTTACAGCCGCCTCGCTCTTTTGGAGGGGATGCCATCTCCTCCAAGGTTATACTTTTTATTTTTTATTTTCCCCCCTCTTCACTTTCAATGTGTTTTACAGCGAGCCCTCTTGCCAACACGTGGGCTCCGCTTTGTTTTTATTCATTCCAGACAGCGTTGCTTTCTGGCGCTGCCTTTTTTTTTTTTTTCTTAATTCCAAAGCTCTCGGAGACGCGGCGGGGAAACGAAGGCTTGGAGCTGGTGGCCTGGCTTGGCGTGAGCTGCCTTTTTCCCCCTGTCGTTCACCAAGGAGGCACGCCAGGAAAAATGATTCAACCCTTTCCGTTACTAACCTTGCGGAACATCTCGCCCACCTCACCAGTCGGTGCTGGGCAGCGGGGAAGATGGAGGGGATGGTGACGCCCTCACTGAAGAACTGTAGGTGCTAGCATCTTCTCATCTCCTTTTTTGTCCTGAGACATTAACGAGATTGAAAGATGCTCGTAAAGGTCACTAACGAAGCTGCTGCTCCATCACATGTGGCGCCTTTGTTCCTTCCTTGCACGCACTGGAGCAGAGCTCATGTCGTTAGCGATGGTTTGCTTCCCCCCCTCCCACCCCGGCATGTTTTCCTTTGGCTCCTTCTATTCCCTCACCTTCGGCTCGCAGCACTCGGGTTTGAGCAAATGCAGCTTACCCTGACAAAAAATATTTAACAGATTGGTGGAGGAGTGGTTTCCCTCTGAGCTGACCTTTTCTTTAAAAGACTGCCGTTGAAGATTCTCTTTACTGGGGATACGCTCTGGGTTTGGACTTTTACTACAAGTCTTGGATTCGCTGAAGCACCGATGGGCAGTGGCCGCCATCCGTGAGGTGTGGTAGTTGGGAGTAAATTTGTTCCCCATCTCCTAAATTTACAGCTCAAGTGACTCGAGAGCACAAACATTGAGAAACGAGGTTTTGGTTTTGTTGGTTAAGACCCTTGGGCAGCTTTTTCTCAGCTCGAGCAGGTGGGAATATTCTGCTTTTGTTGTTCACTGTGATGGAATAAGAGGTTTCCGGAGTAGTAGGAAACCTTAAATGCAGCGGCTGGATGAGAGGCTCCTTCCCTGCCTCTTGGGAGCGAGATGCCAGAGGAAGGACAGAGGCTTTTAAAACGCAGGATGCAGATGGGAAATGAAAATCTTTGGCGTCAGCACGGAGTGGTGGAAGCAAGTCAAGTACTGTGGCTCAGCCAAAAAAGAAAAAAAAAGAAAAAGAGGAAGAAACCTGTCCAACCCTGCATCAGTGGAGCAGGGCATCCGCGGGCAACATGAATCGGTGCAGACGCCGTCCAGAGCACTTCCATCTCTTGCTCTTGCTTGGCAAGCAGCTCTTACACACTCTTGTAAAACGAGAAGAGCTGGAAACGCTTCCCCCCCGTTGATCCAATCCCTTCCGTAAATCTCCCCTAACTGCTGGCGACGGTGCCAAACCCTGTTACGGAGGGCGGGTCGCTCCCTGCTTCCCTCTCTGCGCCCAGCTGTTCCAGGGCGAATCCAAACTCAGTTTGGCAGGTCGGCGAGATCTTTTCAAACGCTCAGCCTAGGAGTCATTTGTTAGTAACAAACGGGGGATTTTGCCAGGACACGCTGCTCCATCTGGTCTGGCATCCTGTCCCCCTTCCGGCAGCCTCGATGGATCTGCTCAAGGAAGGCAGGGGAGAAAAAAAAACCCTAAAACCCAAAATAAAAAAAAATCAAGCAGTTTTCCCATGGAAGGAAAACCGCTTCCGCAGTCTGTTTGAACAGAGTTTCATAGGCTGGAGCCTCTTTGCAGTGTGCTCTCACCTCTGCGAAGGGTGATATATACATTTTTTATTGCTATGTTGCGTGTCACTTTTGGACGCTGGTGAAGCTGAGCTGCTGCATCCAGACGGGTCTTTGGTGCCCTTTCCTTGCTGAGTGGGAGGGATGTAGCTGTAGCTGGGATTCCTGGTGAGGTTAGGATGCAAACCTGCGATTGCGTTGTCTTTTTTTTAACTAGAAGTTCTTGAACTGGTTTAATCCGAGCTGCCACGGCCTAGATATAACCCTGCTCCTTTTGCACCAGCAGCCCTCAGCCTGACTCTATGTTGTGTGTGTGTGTGTGTGTCTGTATTGCACAGTACTCGGATCTGAGCCAGGAGTCCGGGTCTCCGTTCGTCTTTATCTGCGCTAATCCCCAGGAGATGGTCGTGAAGTTTCCCATCAAAGGAAAACCCAAAATCTGTAAGTAGTAAAGTTGCTGCGGATGCCCCAGGGCCAGATGGATGTTCTCCATCCACAGGACAGCACGGCCTGGCAAAGCTCGCCCAGGAAACGCCGCAGCATCTGTCTGCTCTCCGCTTGCCAGCATCGTTAGTCCCTTTTATGAGCCACCAGCCCCTCCGTGGGCTGCCGGTTATTCCTGCCCGCTGCCGTAAAAAAAGGAGGAGGGAGGAGGGAATGCGGCAGCTGGGGAGCCTACAGTCAGCTCTGTCCTTATTAGCAGCCTCCCCACCACACAGCCCGGGGAAGGCACCGGGACGTGCTTTCCGGGGATGTGAAAAATTAATTTGACGGGCTAAAAGCAGCATAAGCAGAAATAGCCTCGGCTGTTTGTTTAGCGGAGCTGATGACTGGGTTTTCTTGCTCATTTGTGGTGCAGTTCTCCGGGAGGAGTTACCTAGGAGAGGCAGGGTTTCTCAGGACCAGTTGATAAGAGCTTTCGAAGCCCAGCGTAGGGTTATTTTTGTTGGTTTCAAGCATTTTTTTCCCCCCCTTCTCTACTCAGAGAAGCACTGTTCTCCCATAGCTTCGGTCTCTCCCTGTGCATCCAGCATGTTTCCTCCACACCAAATTATTGAGCATGTTAGTCACTGAGCACAGAAAGAAGGGGACCCGGGGGCTGTTGCCTTATTTCTAGCCTTTTAGCTCACTTTTTTTTTTGGCACGTGTTATGGTTTTGGTGCCTTGAACTTCCCCCCTCGAGCTCAGGCAGGAGCAAGGCTCACCCAAAACTCAAGCTGAAGGGGGAGGACCTGTTTCAGGTCCTGGTGGGACATCCTGAGCGAGTCAGTTTTGCCTCTCCTGGGAAGAGCATTGTTGGACTCTTCACTGAGCTGCAAACTGAGGAGTTGCCTTGGTTTGAAGAGAAGGGATCATTTTCCCCCCACTCGGTAGCAGTGGGCAAGTGCTGGATGTTAATTTAGTCTCCTCCTTGCTGAATTTTCCCCCTTTCCGGTGTTCCTTTGCTGTGTCGGACACGCTCGCCCCCGGCTCACCGGTGTCGCGCCTGCGGAGGGAAGCTGTGGCGGCTGGAAACGCCTGGCTCCTCAAGCAGGATAATTAAATGTGACAGGAACACACTAACTAGGAGACCTCGCTGCCTCCAGCTGATTTGCATTGCAAATAGAGTTTAAAAATAAAGAGTGATGAGGGTTTGTTGTGGGTTTTTTTTTTTTCTTTTTCCATCCTAATCCTCTCTTTACAGGGAAGCTGGATGCGAAGATCCATCAGGGAGCGAAGAAGGGGTTAATGAAGCAGAAAGTGATGGGGTGAGCCACAGGGTTCCCACGAAACACCCGTCTGCCACCGAATGGTGCTAGGATGGTCCTCAACTCTAGAAAGCGTGTGCAAGACATCCCAGAGCGCTTTTAGGAATTGCTTTATGTGCTGTATACCCCACAAGCATTAAAAGAGACGTGTTTTCACTGAGTTCTCGGCCAACAGCTTCCTGAGAAGTCAGGGGCAAGAGTGGGTGGGAGATGGGGCTGGATGAGGTGAGGTTCAACCAAGCGTTGATATCTCTGTCCATGAGCACTGAATCCCGGGACAGGCCAGGTGGCAAGATGATGGGGCTGGCTCCCAACCGTCAGAGAGCTGGAGCCATACTGAGTTAAAAACCCGCTACTTTATTGAACGAGATTAATTTCTCCTTTTTCTTTAATCCTTCATATCCAGTGTGTTGCTGTGTCTGTCCTCGTTAGGTGTCGGTGGGCGCTAGGCTGTAAGCTTTTCCTTGCTCTGGGCTCTGCCTCTCCATCCCCGGAGCTTCCCCAGCTCCAGAGGGGACAGAGCAGTGCTCGAAATCATCCAAGGAGTCGTCTTCTGTCTCCTTTCACTGCCCGTGGGAGCTCTGAGACGGTGGAGGTGGCAGATCCGGATTCAACACCCCATTGCTTGCCTGGAAAACCCCACGCAGGTGTTGCAGCTCCGAGTTTCCCATGGCAGGCACTGCTGATGGGAGCGTCCGAATGAGCTGTCAGAGGGATGCTGAGGTGGTTTCCAATGAAGCTGCATTGCCCAGCGGTGGTTTAATGACGTTAGTTATGGTTTTGCCGGGTTGATGCCCTGGTTCGTGCTGCATCCCTAATTTTCCCACCCTTGGGAGCGTCACTCCTGGCCCTGAGGATGTGCTGAATATCAACACCATATTCCCAGAGTAACTTTTACTTAATCTTTAAAAAAAAATCGGTAAAAAACAACCGGGATTTGTTCATATAGGATATTTTGGAGCCCACCAGCATTGGGTTTGGGCCACGCGAGGGCATTTTCTCCTCTTCTTCATCTCTTTCAGGTTAAAGGAATGCTCTGCCCATTCCCTGTTTTCCTTGTTTCCCCTCTGGCTCTTCTCCCACCTCACTCAGCCGCAGAAAACAGAGAAATGGTGGGGATGGTGTAAA